TTTTCTCCACCACTTTATTCTTCTCTTTAACAGATTGAGTTTATTGATGAAAATGTCAACGGGGTTTCCTTTGCAATGAAAGGATTTCCAAGCTGCTTCAACAAAAGGTACAAAACTACTATTATGAAACCAACTCTTTTCAAATCTAAAGAGAGGAGATTTTGGTTGGATACCCCCACTATCAAGAACAAGGGGAATATGATCTGAGCCTGAAAAAGGCGGAGAGAATTGTAAACTGAGGGGATATTTTCTATCCCATTCCGCACTTATTAAGAATCTATCTAGTCTCGCCAAAGCTGGGTTTTGGCGCTTATTGGACCAAGTAAAAGACCGGCCAGAAAGAGGAAGATCAATAAGAGAAGTAGATGAAACAAATTTACGAAAAGAATTGATATCACGAAGAGAACCCCCATTACCATTTCTCTCTTCTAAGCACAAAGTTGCATTGAAGTCACCACAAATAATCCAAGGTCCATCAAACAATTTGCGAACCCTATTAAGCTCCCACCAACAAACCTCCTTATCCTCTCTATCAATTGGAGCATATACATTAGTGAAAGTAAAGTGCCAATTGGAGGTTATATGAATCAAGGATACAGAAACGGAGAAGATACCCACATATGAACTAATCAACTTGAAAGAATTTGACCAACCAACTATGATTCCGCCTCTGGATTCAGAAGAATCTAAGATAGACCAGTGTGTCAAACGATTACCACCTATAGAACGAAGCTTTCTAGCATTTGGTTTACAAAGCTTAGATTCTTGAATACCAATGACGTCAATTGACTGACGAAGAACAAAATCTTTAACTAGAAATCTTTTGTTTGGGTCATTAAGACCACGAATATTCCAAGATGCAAATTTCATTGAAAGAAAGATAACAAGAACCTCCTATACGACTCCGATATCTTAAAACTTAACAGCCTGAAGCAACTCTGTCAATCTCCTTTTCTTTAAACTTTGCTATGGAATCAGAATGCAACGTAACTCCACAATTTTCCGCAATTTCCTCAAAAGTATTATGATGCATAGCATTAAGAGGCATCTTAATTGAAGAAGATGAAGAAAGAGTACGTTTCGTACCTTTTTTAGCAACTTTAGAAGCAGTTTTAGAAGAGGAGATATGCTTCAGAAAACTCCTGTGTTTACGATTAAGCATAGATCTCCTAGCTGAACGAACGGATGAGGAAGAGCCTTGTTTGTGAGAGAAACCTGGTGGAACTGATGAAGACATTGGAATAGCTGGGGTGTCGTTAGAAATTGGCGGGAGAGCAGTATCAGAGAAATTTGAATCAGAATTCCTGCCAAAAATATTTACCCACGTTTTTTTCTCCAAATAAACAGAATGACCTTGCCAAGAATGTTTGACCAAATCCACAGGGAAATCTCGCAGAGATTCAGGGATCTGTTCTGAGCTGGCGTTAGATGAATTAGCCTGAGAATCCGCTCGATTTGTTATTGGCATAATAGGAGATTTTTGAATTTCCTCAATTTGCGGTAATTGATTATCTCCCTGAAAATCTGCTGCATTTGAAACACCCTGAATTACCTCTTTACCCTTATCAGAACTGCTGTGTTGTGCCTGAGATACTGCCGGTGATCCCTTTGCCGGAGAAGAAATAATAGCATCAGCTTGAGGGGTAATCTGATCTATCCATTGCGAATCCAAGACAATATCGCCTTGCGTAGCCATAGCATTGAGATTCGATCCTATAACATCTGAACCAAGTTGCCCTACGCCAATCGGTTGAATCTCCAAATGCACTTCCCTATGAAAGAAATCGATCTGGGATGTATAGGAACATATGATAGTTTTTGGGATACATTCTGCTGATTTGACTTTAACCAACACTCTGACATCTTGACCATTAATCTTGTCTTTGATGTTCTTGCACCCCTGCACCATTTCTCCAAAGGAACTAATAATTGTGGCAATTATATCTAGGGACCAGAATTGAAAGGGAAGATTCTTAATCTTAATCCATTGGAAAAAAGCTGAGTCCACAATCTTCATTCCCATGTTTTCTGTCCATGGAGCAAACCACCCTTTGAAACACTCAAAATTCAAACTTTTCTCATCTATAGCCTCCGACATCTGAAAAATAGATGGAAATTCAACTAAAAAGTGTTTATCCTTGATAGGTATCACTTTACCTTTCCAGGTTTGCCATTTGAAAAGCCATGATAACTTAATTTTGACCAGTTCCAGAGAAGGATTGCCTTCAGAAATGGATAGAATGGCGAATGAAGCCAAGACTTTTGCGTTCTTGCATAGAGTAGAAGATTCAGACAAATCGACCTTTTTCTCTGAAGGACGGAGATGAGATCTGCATTGCTTAGCGATATGCCCTTCTTCATGACATTTAAAGCAGATAAAAGCACCTTTGGGGCAGAACTTGACCGAGTGACGGTCATCACCGCAGTTGAAGCAACGACGGGGTTGCTTAGGATCAAT